AAAAGGTCCTATCTTAACGAATAAGCAACTGTTTCCCTATTAACAAATATCAGTTTGGCGCATCCTTGATAATAGCAGCAATTATCGCAGACGATATTTGTTCCTGAATACTTTTAATGCTAATATCCAATCAAAATATCTTTGATGGTGTAAGAACTTTAATTTCATTACTGTCCTGTAATATACTACGTAAAAATAATGGTAAGCTTAAAGTGTTTTGGAAAGGTAGATGGAATGATATTAACCGTAAATTGGTGTGTACTAATCAGATGAACCGGTAGCAAATTAAGAAGGAAGGGAGACAATCCGGGAAGTTGCTCGGGTTGAAAGTTAATTTTAAGATCTTCGCATGCATATCATATATATATATATATTGGCTAGAACTGACAAAGTTCTAAATTACACCAAGTCTAACAAACGGAAATAAAAGACAAAGAATTCCCGTTATATCACTGACCATCAGAAATCACTTCTAATGTTAGGAGTTCGAGAGAAGATGAGAAGCGCAAATTGTGATGAATGATGTCATTGTAAGCGTTTGGAAAAAAAGACAGAGAAAGGAATAAATATTCAAATCGTTTACTTTACTTCGTCGTTCTTTAAGATATCACTACCAGTACAACGACGTGGCGCTAATGTACCACTAATGTAATGTATGAGTTATTGTTCTTTGCTTTTGAATTTGAAATTTTTCAAGTTGCATTTTTTATAAAAAACAAGTACTTTTTATATTTCAAGCATTTTTACTTTAGTAAATTCAATATTAATTTCATCATTCCGGAAATTTTCTTCTTAAATTAATGCACTTATTAATTAATGCAATATGATTCAAAGCCTGAGGGTTACATGCAACTTTTGCATGAATGTTTCTAGAAAATTCTTCGTATCACTATAAATGTCAAGCCTTCGAGTCTGTCATTGTCGAATATTATCATTTTGCCCTTGCTTAATCATTACTGCTGAGTTATTTTTTGAAAAAGCAAATAGATAAATTCACATTTTTATAGTTTCTCATTGGAAAATAGCAAAGAAAACAAATAACTTGAGAATCACCCTTGATAAATCAGTACTTAATTGGAGTGAAACTAATGCATACTTTAATACTTTTGCAAGTTTTTCGATTAGATATATTCAGTACAGTTCATCAAGTGTACTTAATTGTATAAACAATGTGCTCATTAAGCATATTCAGTAAATATTTAGCCACATAAACAGTGAACGTAAATATTAATAGCAAAGCAAAGAAATATTCTTCTGTCGCAAAATAATTGGAGAATAGCTAAAGGCACATTGTCAAACCCGTAAAAGTGATTACTTTAAGGCTTCATTATAATTACTATATCAGTCTCTCCTCAGGCGGAGATTTGAGCATTGAATTCATCTGAAACAAAGAAAGCTGTTTGTTTCGCACACATAAATATCTCTTTAGACACTTTAATTATTAATTCTTCATTATCATAACTTTCCAATATCTTGTCTTATGAATTTATTCCGAGTTTTAAGAAAATAAGATTAAAAGTAGCAGAAAGTATAAAAGCAGTTTTAAACCTAACCGGCATTCGTGAAATACTACTTTCATGATGAGATGGACTATAAGTACCCTGAGTTGCACGTCGTCCACGAATCATTACTACTGCCAATAACACAAAGCCAATGATTAGTAGTGACATTACAAGGGCCAGTAACGGTCCAATTATGTAACCCAATGAAATCGACCTAAAATTTTCTTCTTCAAATTGGTAAAAAAAATCCAAGTCATGGTCGCCATGCTATTTCCATAGTCTTGCTATTCGTCAAACTCGGCTTAATCCTTCAAGATAACGAACAAATGTAAAATTTGATTCCTAAAGATTTCATAGCTACTATGTAGACTAGTTACCAAATCTTAGGACATATATCACAGTACATCGAAATGTAATATGAAAAAAAAATATCTCGCATCCTGTGCTAACATCCACTGATAGTATATTGAGAGGATTAATTAATATTAATAAGAAATTAAAATGTACAGAAATGAAATACCTGCTCTTCTCGATTAAGTGGATGCAATAATCTCCGCCATAGCCGAATTCACATTCACATTCATAACTTGCCACCTCTATATCATTTTTCATGCTGATAGCAGGGCGGACACATGCACCATGCACACAGTCGTGTCTCGTTCGATTCAGACTATCCGGAACGCATGGATCTTCCACAGTGCATCGTTTTCCGATATATCCTAAAGCAAGCATGGAATCAATTCATAGTTCACTGTAGTTCAATGACTTCTTCAGCTAAACAAACTGACCCGTGTCGCAAACACAATTATATGAGCCAATCAAGTTGGTGCATCTACCGTAGACACAAACGCCCTGTTCACATTCATTGATGTCCTCAGTGCAGCTAGTACCCTGATAACCTGTACCGTCACAGTCACATTCGTATCCATTTACTCGATCAGTACAATGTCCACCATTGTGACACACTTCACTAACACAGTCATCAATATCCACTGAACATGTTTCTCCTTCAACTAGTCAACATCAACATTTTGATATATGTTTCGGGCAAATTGAAGGTGTTAATGATATCTTTGGATATCCAAAATTATTAAGATCCCATTTTTACAATATTAAAACTTCATTTATTTACCTCGGTACTTTCAGAAATTTTTAGAAAGAAATATCGAAAGTTTTTTTAAAAGAGGAAATTTCATGTCTTTGTAGTAATTCCAAACAATGTTTTGGAAAAGGACTAGAAGAATTTTTAAATGTTATGTCGTAAGTTGAAAACAAATAAGTAGTAGCCAGTGATAAGCAAAATCTTCACTGGAAATTCCGATTTTTTTATTTGTTAATGTTCAATTAAGGAAAATTCCCAGTCCTTATTATAATTAAATAACCTGTAAAGCCAGCTAAGCATGAGCAGCTGAAGCCACCAATAAACCCTTGACAAGTAGCACCATTTTCACATGGACTTGAACTGCAATAATCAACAATCATATCACATGTATCACCAGTATATCCCCGTCTGCAGACACATGAATGTGTAATAGATGTTTGCTGTATGCAATCACCGTTATCACCACACGGTTTCTCTACACAACTGCCCACTATTTCACAATGTTCTCCTGAAATTTCGGAATTGATTACCAATAAATACCTCATAAAGTCTTGTAACTCATACATTCCACGCTTATACACTGTCGAGACATATGACAATAAAAATCTTCGTACCTCCAGTGATCTAAGGAAGAATTGCTAAT